TAAGGGGTTTGGCTGCTAGGGAGTGTGGTAATTGTGAGCAGATGCAGACATATGTGGTATTTGGTGCGTGGAGGATGTTGGTATGTGTGTGTTTGTGTATGTGTTTTTGTATTTGCCACTTCGTAAACAACATTTCATACATCCACCAAGTATTTACCCAATAAACATCAATATATTTTTGGGGAAAGAGCACGGCAATGTTGCCGTTATTGTAATGAATATGCGCTACAACAAGCAGGGAAGAAGTTGGCTGCTAGCGAGCTTTGTGTTTGTCAACGGAGGCAGACATAGATGGTATTTCGTGCGTTACATGGGGGAGGTTGTGTGCGTATTGGGCTGGGTGGAATCAGAGCGCATCGGTCAACTTTGAGCGCTGAGAAGGGAAATGCTTCTCATGCAACATTGGGCGCTGACAATGGGAATGCTGCTCGCCAAGTTTGTGCATGAGTTCTTGAATAATGCAAAAGGTGTGCAAGAGCGTTGCATCATTTCGTTACGTTCCGTATCACCTCCTATCTTTGGTCGCGCTCTCGGTCAGGCGTACTATGGCTTCTCACACGGGTGATGACTGTTGTGTTTGTGCTCTAAATGTCTACCCTCTCTCGTACGAACGATATTGCTTTAACAAGTTTAGCTCAGATATCTTAAGAAAGCTTTGGTTCAACTATCCAGGAAGGACTATTTCTTACTCCTTCTATGCCCTGTTGAACCCCAGGGCACTACACAAGGACTCGACCAGTCGATTAAGCCGGCAAGCAAGGAACGGGTAGTAATGCTCTGCAGTATAATGCGAAAAATATTGAACATGAACTAAAAAATTGATCCAATTTAGCACAACCCCTCAAACCACAATAGTGAAACAAACCAAACGGGTCGGAGGAGGCAGAAGTATAAGCACGCACAAAGCTTACCATGGCATAACTGCCATATGGTAGCACTGAACCACACGATGAAACCTGAGACTACTGGCTCAGTTCCTGCTTTCTTCCTCTCCTTTTCCTCTTCCTTTGTTTTTCTTTCATGTATAAACGCATTTTCCAGCAGTTTTACTGCCTTTTCTCCCCCCTCTACTGGTACTGTTCCGCCGCAGGATTGGTCGGCTTCTTGCTAGCCAACGGCCACTCCGGTGGGAAACCCAGCTCGTGGCTTTCCCCCTTTTTACGAATAAGTTCATTCAGGTTTTCAAGGACTCAGGCTTTTAGCCTTTTTTGATCTACAGCCGCTGTGAAAATGTGTCAGCTCTGCCTAAACCCCGCGGGGGAGAAGAGCTGCTGCTGCTTCAACTTGTCGATAGCCCTATTGGTCGTGGCAACCTACTTTGGGGTGATTGGGGGCTTTGACATATACCAGGCCAAGCAGACAATACCTTACGAGGAAACTCAATTCATTGGAGGCATTGTCAATGCAGTTGTTGCCGGATATATCTGTGTGTGTGTGCTGCTGGGCTTCCTCAAGCTCGGCATGATCGCGTACATTTTCACTTTCGGCGCTTTCTTCGTCACTTTGATCAATGGATTATTCAAAGTAAGTCTGCTGAAAGCTTTCATGCCATCTTCCCGTCCCTTCTGTGCATTTTTTTCGCACTACGCCCCCCCTAAACCCAAGGTGTATGCCCGTTCTTTATTGAGATGATATGGTGTGTATGTGCTGCAACACGTGTGGTATTTTGTGTGTCTGTACAGCTGGTGACTTTCATCATCCAGTGGGTCCACTGGGGTCAGGGAATGTCAGACGGCACGATTGACTTTCAAATGGTGATGGTTACCTCATCCATTACTCAGCTGCTGACGATTATGGTCATCTTAGGCTTTGCTAACCTCTTCTGGTCTGCAGCCTGTGTCTACAAGGCAGGCGGAAACGGCTGCGAGTTCAAAACCTACAGAGAAATTGAAAGCAGAGCTGCAAAGAAGAATGATGAAGATGCAGTGTAAACGCGCGCACGCGCACGCGCGCCCACATCGCTTTCGCATATTTTCCTTGCTGCTGGAGCAAGTCCTGCTGGTGCAGCAAGTCCCGCTGCTGCAGCAGCAAGTGTTGCTGCTGCAGCAAATCCACCCGGCTGCCAACGAACAGCTAGGTGTGTAGAAATGCCGCAGACGGACACCAGACACAAATGTAGACATATGCCGACAAAGAAAAATATTCTGGCGACTGCCGCTATGGCAGTTGTCTTTTTATGTTGCTTTCACCGTTGTGCTTGTTTCCTCAACTTAATCTCTTAGGCCTTCTTACGTGTACAGGGGTCCGCAGGCAGGGTTAGGGAAACCCTAAACCCTAAAGTTTAAACCTTGTTGTCTTGTGCTTCAAAGCTATCCAAATATTAGCTAAACCCTAAACCTCTTATTGGTGTTTAGTAGGGAGTTTTAGTTTGCATACGGCTGCAATTGAGGTGTCTGTACACCTCAACGAACGACGTCAGCGAACAACAGGCATACTCTAATAGCAAACATATATTCTCAGACTAAAGGGGCAGAAACAAACCGGCAGATACACAGACAAACCAGAAAAGCACAATACAAAGGGAATTCAAGTTGAAGCATTTATCATTTAGTACAGTTATGGAATACGCACAATTAATAATGTTTACATACATTATTCAAGCTGCGTATTACACAGCCGTACTACATTAATATATATATATATATATATATATAGTTGTTGTGCGTCATGTATATATTCCCAAAACAGTATATATATATATATATATATATATATATATATATATATATATATATATATATATATATATATTATGGCGTGTGGCGCATATGGCCATTATGTATACTCTCTAGGCATACACGAGCCTGTAAAGAAATAGAGCTATTTGTTGTTTGTACTGCGCGGACAGGATGGCAATCCGGGGCCGCATGCTCTGACAGACATGGAGAAGAAGGTGGTTAAAAGATACGAGCAGAAAGAGAGAGAAAAGCAGAGAAACAAATGCAGGCACAGGGAGCGAAACAGAAACAGAAACACACACACGCACACACGCACAGACGCATACTCCACCTACACAGTAAACCCTAAACCCCAGAAACACTCAATACATCTTCACGTGGTTTCGTGACTGGCCTTGGCAGCATTAGGGTTTCGCTAAACCCTAAACCCCCAATTCATAAACCCCAAAGCTCTAAACCCCCCCCCCACCATCGGCAGTTCTGGGGGTCTCTCTGCTCCTCAGCCTGCACTGCCTACGATTTATTACTTGATTGAAGTTTGGAGTCAATGGTTTAAGGTCTAGTTTCAGTAGCCGGGCAAAAGTGTTCAGGGTTTAGGGTTTAGGGTTTAGGGTTTAGGGTTCAAGGGGGCCCCTCGGCCGACACGGCGAAGATTCCGTGAAGATAAGGTAGGGCTTCGTAGCACTAGCGTATTTCCACACAAATAAAAACTTGAAATATTATTTATGAATGGATTTTTGGTGTGGCAGCAGCGGCAGCCGTAGCAGCAGCAGCAGATGCTGCTGTTGCCATTGCTGCAGCAGCAGCAGCAGACACAACAACCCCACCGACAACATGATGGGGGGCGTTTAATCTCTACTACGCCGCCAGCGAATGTCGTTCTGCTTCTCTCTAGGATTTATTTATCTTATTTTTTGTCTTTCTTCCTCTTCTGTTGCGCTCAAGAACGGGAGATGAGGGTTTGGCGTCGTAAACCCTAATTGGGGGGTTTAGTTATCGGCCTGAGTGAACCCCTTACACTGTAGGGGCCATAAACACCAACTGCAGCAGCTGCAGCAGCAGCAGCAGCAGCTGCAGCAGCAGCGAGATAAAGATGGAGGGTAACTGCAGCGGGCCGCAGCTGCAGCTGCTGCAGGAGCAACAGCGGCTGCTGCAGCACAGGCAGCAAAAAGAGCAGTTGACGGGGCTTGTAGGCGCAGCACCAGAAGCGCATCCAGCTGAAGCTTCACTGCCGTTGCTGGAGGGGGGGCCGCTAGCTGCTGATGCCCCACACGCCTCTGATGCTGGTGCTGCTGTCGCTGCTGCTGCGCTGACTTCCCCTGGCCTGACCAGCAGCAGCAGCAGCAGCAGCAGCAGCATTCACTGCACAATGCCTATTGCTGTTCCAGAACTGCGAAATAGACGCAGCAGCGGCCACTTCTTCCGCACCCCGGGCCCCCAGGTGTCGCCGCCGCAGCCGCAGCCGCAGCACCTGCAGCTGCAGCAGCAGGTGCAGCAGCACTTGCTGTCTCTGAGCCCTCCATTCAAAAGCATTGCCTGTATCTCTACAGCTCACACAACACCCGTTGAGCTCTTCGCCCCAGAGGCACCCCTGAAGGTCTGGACAGATACAGCAGCAGCAGCAACAGCAGCAGCAGCTGCTGCTGCTATTGCCCCAGACTCTCCATCACCAGCTGCTGCTGCTCCTGCAGAGGAGCAGCAGCAGCAACAACGGCGCAGCCTTCTGCATGTGCATCGTGAAGCTGAAGCTGCTACTGCAAAGGCAGCAGCAGAAGCAGCAGCAGCTGCTGCNGCAGCTGCTGCGGCCGGAGACGACAAGTTGTATACGCACAACGCTAGATCCATTACTGCCCGCGGTAGCTTCCCTAGGCAACCGATGCTGCAAGGTGAACAGGCGCAGCAAAAACAGCAGCAGCAGCAGCAGCAGCAGCAGCAGCAGCAACAGCAGCAACAGGTTTTGCGGAGGGCGCCTAAGGAGCCCCAGCTGCAGCCGCATCCGCCACGAAGGGTTTCTCCCGCTATAAGTGTGGGCGGCCCTTGCTCTCTTCCTCTCAGCAGCAGCAGCAGCAGCAGCAGCAGATGCGGGAGCTCTGGTGCGTTTGCTTTGCCTCAGCTGAGGCCCGGCAAGGAGTGGCAGCAGCAGCCGACACAGCAGCAGCAGCAGCAGCAGCAGCAGCACCGGACGGAAGGTCTCAGCAGCAGAAGCAGCAGCACAAGCATCCGCCCGTTGGTTTCCTCCCCAGCATCAGAGGCGGCGCATGCAGTAGCAGCAGCAGCCCGTGCTGCTGCTGCTGCTGCTGCTGCTCGCTTCTCTGACAGTACTGCTGCAGATGCAGCAGCTGCTGCAGAGGCTGCGAAGGATTTCAAGAGACGCCCGAAGGGGCACCGTGACCAGCAGCATCAGAAGCACCAGCAGCAACAGCAGCAGCAGCAGAAGCAGCAGCAGCAACAGCTGCAGCAGCAGCAGGACGCCCGCTGTTTGAGACAGTCGAAGCAACAAGCTGCGGATACACCACGCTCGCCTCCCCAGCTCCGGCAGCACTTGCAGCAGGACTTGAAGCAGCAGCAGCAGCAGCAGCAGCAGCAGCAGCCGCGGAAGCATCAGCAGCAACACCAGCAGCAGGGCAGGGTGCAGCGCGAGCAGCAACTCCTTGAGAGCTTGCTGAGGAAGCACGTGGGGAGGGGGCTGACGGACAGCCGAGTGTCTCGTGTGCTGCAGCAGCAGCAGCAACAGCAGCAGCAGCTGCTGCTGCCCTTACCTTCTCTGAGGCAGAAGCTGAAATGGACTGCAGCAGCAGATGCCCCTGCTGCTGCTACAAAAGCAGCCAATGAAGAGGAACTGCAGCTACTGCTGCATCTGCTGCAGCAGCAGCTGCTGCCAGAAGAAGCAGCTGCAGCAGCAACCGCAGTTGATTTCTCTCGTATTGGCGACAAGGACAGGCAAGCGCCAAACCCTAAACCCTAAACCCTAAACCCTAAACACTGCACACTAAACACGAAGCTGCAACCCCCTCCAACCCCCCAATCCTTCTCCTCGTCGGCTGGAGCTTTGCTTGTTGTTTATTGCTGCTG